CCTATAGGTCCTCCCGCTTGGAGACTTCCAAGCAAAGTCAATGAGGAGATAGGTGCTGAAGAGGTAAGTCCAGGACAGTTCAAAGCACTGCATTGCCAAAGGAGGTGTCATCTCCGGAAACAGGTACGATAGCAAATGTTTGGCAAACCAAACCAAATAGCAATCCTGCGGATTTCTGTAATGGGAATATCCTTCAGTGGAGCTCTAGATGTGGACTGAGTTCTAGTGGAATGTGCTGTTATTCCATGAGGTAGCTGCACCCCAGCATTTTCATACCAGGTCAAGATGTAATCTGAAACCCACTTAAGACAATCTTTGTGTGGAAGTTGGTTGGCCCTTCATCTTCTCTGCAATTGCTACAAATAGCCTGGGAGAGGCCCGCAATAGTTTAGTCAGGTCCAGACAGAAAGCAAGGGCCCTCCTAACATCTGGTGAATGAAGGCTTGATTTTTCTCTGGAGGCATGAGGTTTTAGGTAGAAAACTGGCAAATTTCCTGGTTAACATTATTTTCTGAGGAGACCTTTGGAAGGAAATCAGGATGGGGACTTAATATAACCTTGTTCTTGTAAAAGATGGTATTTGGTGGTAGTCACACAACAGGCAATACAGTTGAACGTACTGCTTGATGCCCTCAACTAAACTGTCAGAAATGACTTGTAGAGAGAGGGGCTGACTGGATAGAAGTAGGGGTGGGAGGCCCCTGTTTCTGTGGTCTGGCCTTTCTCCTGAAGTGCTATGGAGGCTTATGGAAAGTGTGCTGATGGTACTGGAATAGTCTTGATCTTTGAGTGGTTTGGGATCTACTAAACCATCTTCTCGTTGCAGGCACAAAAATCCCCTATGACGGCTCTGGAGTCCTTGAGCATGTGGAGAGAGGAGTTTAATATTCACTGAAGAACATAGGCCCCTACTAACAAGACGGCTTTCACTATGTTTTCAACTTCTCTTGGAAGGACCAGCGCAGAATTCTCTCCTCTGGACCACCACGGCCAGGGACCTGGAAGCTGTATCAATGAATCTAGAGAGTTTGCAGGGAGCTTTCACAACCAACTTCTCCTTCAGTGATGACAGACTGAAATTGATCTGTCTGGTCTCGTGGCAAGTGCTCAATTTGGAGTATGTGTTGAAATCATATTTTGCCATCCAGACCTGGTAGTTGGCAATGTGCAACTGGAGAGCGGCTGATAAGTAGCTCTTCCTTCCCAGCAGGTCCAGCCATTCAGTTTCCTTGTCAGATGGAGATGGCCTGGTGTCCAGATCCAGTTCCTCTCATTGGCCACATTAAGGGAATTAGGTAGGGTTGGTGAAAAACTACTCCATTCCTTTAAATGGGATGTAATATTTCTTATCTGCTCACTTATACATTAGTGGAATTGTAGCAGGTGTTTTCCACAGGGTATGTGTGGGAGGAGATAAAGCCTCATTGATGGGTAGGGCAACCTTTCCCTGGGACTTGATGTCCAGGATGTCCATCAAGGAATGTTCTGACTCTTGGGACTTCCTCTAGTGAGATCTGAAGGCAGTCCACTAGCCTTTTCATGGGATCTTGGAAGATCTTAAAATCACCAGTATAGAAGGGCTGTGGTGGCACTACTGCCTTGTCCAGAGATGAAGAGGACATCCCAGATGCAGGGTGAGAGCTCCTGGGCCTCAGACTCTTGCTCCTCCTGTGTTTCATCCGGTACCAGAGAAGTGTATGGTACTGAAGTGCGCAGTACTATAGAACACTCTTTATGTGCCAGTGGTTGGCATGGTACCAATGAGTGCCAATGCTGTCTCTTAGCCACCTGATGGAGTTGGTCGCCTTTGGGCCTCAAGGGTCCCAGTAATCCCACTGTGGGGGGATGGGGAGGAGGAGATAAGGGAAGCGATCCCAGTGATAATCAATACCTGGGCCTACAATGTATGGTAGGCTCCCTAGGATTGTCTTCGTGACTGGAACTCATTGGGGTAGGGTGTTATACCAATAGAATAAAAACCAGCAGGATCTTATTAAGAGGGATAAGGCAAAGATGCCACATTTATTGTAAATATACTGATAAAGCAAAAGATAAAAG